GGGCATGACTGTGGAAAAATTAATCTCTTCCTGACACGACCAACATTACCTTGTGTGTGTTCTTGTCTGCTTCCTTCAAATTCCATACTTTGCTCTGTTCTTGATCCATTCTCCACTATCTCCTTTCTGTTATTTCCATTATTATTACCACCCACACACGTTTTTTGTCCTAGATGTTTTTGTCTCTTCTCCTCTCTCACTTCTTTGCTTTCGCTGTCCTCTTGCCAGCTTGTCTCCCTCATTCTTTTAGAAATTTCTTTCTTATTCACTACCTCTTGTTGTAGCTGTATTTTCTCACTTTCGAACTTCCCTTGTGCTTCATCACTCGTATTAGACTCATCACTACTCAACTCAAGGTCTTCAAGAACTTCGTCCAATACTATCTTTTCTTTACTCTTCCATGTAGAGTTCTAAAGCGAAAATTCACTTTCCATGGGGCAATGTTGACATCCCACAACACCCAGCCAGGAGTGATGGGACCCCGAGCAGTAAGTTCCCAACACCAAAGTTGCTTGACGATACTTATCTTATCCTCAGGTCCTTATACACAAGTAGGTAAGTCTATATATCCTTCAGATAATATAATAGGCTCGAAAACATCCCAAATTTGGGAGCTAGCGCTCACAGCTGTGTTTACCAGACCAAAAAAATGGCCACTCCGTCGTACGTCGAGTAGGTCGTAAGTCGAGGAGTAGCTGTATTTAACTGGTGATAACAGAAAAAGTTATTTCTTTAGTGTTTTGTTTTTGTGTTTTAATGTTTTGTCTGTGAGTCGGTTCTCGTCTTCAACGTTTAGGTCACGAAGGAGGCTTAAATATATCTAGAAAAAAAGTTTTTGCTCCTGTGTAAATATCATAATAAATTTGCACTGTCCTCTGATTGGTCACAGCAGAAAGATTTAAATAATAAATCCCGCAAAATTGTGCCTCTCTCCCGGCAGCACGATAAGAATCCGTCGAGATCGTCGCAGTTTCGTTCTGCGTCGGTCGCGTCCACGAAATGTAAACACTATTGGACGCGTACGAAACCGGGTATGCCGATTCGGTTTTTGTTGGTCCATCGCAAGAAGTTAGGTAGTTTAGATTAGGTTAGGTAGGGTTTTCAATGTTGTTTTTTAACCCTTCATGTTGAAAGTCTAACTCACTTTGGAAGATTCATTGTTTTTGTTAGTGTAAGGAAATTAAGATCATATTTATTTATTAGAAAAAATCCAAATAAAAACTGGTAAAATTATCGTTTTGGCCGTGCAGCTATTTTCCGAAGGTCATAAAAGTTGAAAATACATCAAAAACCGTTGGAACAAGATTATTTCAACCTAATCTAACCTATTTGAGTAATCAGTTTCTCCATGTGGTACTAAACAAACAAGTGCCTTTATTATAAGTGTACGAAGATGTTATTTGACCACGATTCTGGGCCAAATAACCGTCGGCCATTTGACCGGGACCTGCGGGGATCGTATAGGATTGTAGTCGGGATGGTTGGGGGCATTAAACAAGTCATTACATTATGGTATTATTTAATTGTATAATTTCTGTTGACAAAAGGATTTAGTTTTATTTTAGATCTCTGTCAAATAAGCGGCGGATATTGTGCCGAGTACCGGTCAAATAATCCCTGCCTATAATATAATAGTTTTACAGTGTTGTGTATTATATAGCTATTGGTCACATTTCCAGGAAGCTTCAAGGACCAACAACACACCTCGGTACGACAAGTCGAGACTCGACCGTACAGACCCGTCCGGTCTCGCACACGACGCCGTTAACGGCAAACGGAGAAACGCCGCTGGGAGGTAATACCGACGTCGTCACTTCACGTCGTGTCATTGGGCGTACGAGCCGAGTGTATTAGAGTACAGGTTGTACCTCTCTAGTCCGGCATTCTGTGATCCGGAACGATTTTAGTTTGTCCAATAGGTAGATAGGCAGCTTTTTTTTTTTTTTTTAATCTTGATTATTATTATTATTATTATTACAGGAGTATTAAATTTTTGCCCCTCAGGCCCCAATGTGGGTCAGTGACCTATGCCCGGGTGGGCTAATCCCCGTAAAAAAACAACAACAACGACAAAGCCGGGGGAAATTAAGGTTTGTTTACATCCGGCAGCTCTCTCTCTGTGCTTGTCTATACAGAGTACAACATTTAACCCTTCAATATATATTCTAGCAGTAAATAAGTGTTGCTTTCATATTCTTAAGTAGAGTAACGACGACATGTTTTCACGTGTGCGCACTTACATACGCGCAGTTTCACATTTTTTTTACCATTGATGGTTAGCTACTTATATTGTTCCATTTATTAACATTAAATAACATTACTTCAAACAAGCATATTAATTTTTTTACATTAATTTTACTACAGCTACAATCAGGGTCTTATTTTCTTCAGTTTTATATGTAGAACCAATCTGTCACCGGTTTTGTAAGCTTTAACAAAAACAATGCCGGCAGCCGTCTCGTCTCGTCGCGTGTTTTAATATTACACGTATTAGTAATAAATTGTACTGTTAATTTTGCACACAAACATTAATTCAATAAAAACAAATTCAGAAACATTAATTAAAATATATATGAACAGTAAATAAGTGTTGCTTTCACATTCTTACATAAAGTAATGACGATACGTTTTCACGCGTGCGCACTCGCGTACGCGATCTCTGTTTTTCTTTACCATTATCGTTAGCTACTTCTATTGTTCCATTTATTAACATTACTTAAAAGAACCATATTAATTTTTCTACAGCTACAACCAGGGTCTTATTTTCTTCAGTTTTATACGTAGAACCAGTCAGTCACTGGTTTTGTAATCGACGAAAACGGTGCCGTCTCATTTCCTCGCGTTTTAATATTGAGCATATTATTAATGAATTGTATTGCTCATTTTGCACACACTAACATTAATTCAATCCAAAAGACTTTCAGTAATAAATAATAATGAATCTTTCGTACATAAGAGAAATAACGCCGTTTACACGATCGTGCACGTCGTCCGAACGTCGGCGGGCCATTCAAACCCGTCGAAATTTGAGTTTCCGCCGTCAAAAGTTTTAAATGTGTCGGGTTTTTTTTGTGCGTTCAAATAGAAAACGTCGAATTAAAAACTCGCGAAATTTGAGAAGGTACTGTACGACATTTAACCCTTCAATATGTCTTCAAAGAGACCACGAAGCAGAGAAAGTGGTGCTAGTGCTTCCAAGTGTAAACAGAAGTCACTATCTGTCCAGGAAGAGGGCGAATTTCCACGGTCGGGAAATTTCCGGCGTCCGGCACCGGTCGGGTCCCGTGGTTGCCGGACCGGAGAGGTACAACCTGTTCTTGTATTTCAGTACACTTGTACAGTAATCCTATAAAAGTGGGCATTTATGTAAATGTTTGTGCGTAAAGTCGCGTCCCATTGGCGTCGGCGGTACGCGACACTTCCAAAATCTGGCCCAGATTCACGTTTTTCATCCCATACCCAATTTTGAATGTGTGTTTATTTCGTGTTTCTTTAAAGTACAGTACAGTATATTAATAACTTTAAGTTTCGTTTTCAAAACATAATGTCATTGTTTATTAATTATGATACTCTATAAATGCTGTGGTACTCTAAATACTTTTTTCTACTTATATGAATCAGTTGAGTTGAGTAAACTTGTATTTGCATAGTTTTGAAGAAGACTACAGGACATAGTTTAAATTTTTACATATCAACAGTAATATTTTCAGGCACTTTCTCCATCACTGCCTACAGTGGACCTGATGTGAACTAGAATGAAGTTGGCTGGACATAAAGTTTACTGGACCTCAAGTAGTCTGTGGTATTGTATTTAATATTATTGTGGTACTTTGAATGTTAGGAAAGTTCTACAGGCATTCCCCAGTTTATAAGAGTACTGTGTCTTATAAAAACCTATGGTAAATCGAATCACTATTCCTATAGACTCGCATTATAAAAGCCAAGATACTTTTCTACAACGAAAACAGTTCCCCCCAAATTATGTACGGTCCCCCAAAAAGTATCGATTGAATTTTCTAGCGGTAAAATTTGAAACTCTAGATGAAATACTTTGCTGTGATCCCCAGTGCATCAGCATAAGTTGGTACAGGTACATCCGGTCACTATATGAGCAATAGCCGTAGACGGCGGGTAGCGAGGGAGTCGTCCTCGTGTGACATACGACCGTACGGTATATGCTTTACTATAACAAGAAATTCATTGAGCTATATTAATGTATGTATCGTGCCGGTTAGAAGCGAGGCCCCAACCGAGGATTACAATAATATCGGAATATACATTAAACGGAAGAGTTTTGGAACGTCACGAGCTAGACCGAGACGGACCTCGGGGCATACGTTTCGCCACCGCGTCGTAGTGACGGTTTTATTCGTACCGAGATGCACAATGTAGTCGTCGACGACACGTCTGATTTTTGAGGAGTGACGGAGCAAATAGTAGTTGATATTAGAGTGAACAGGTACAGCAATATACAATATATTGGTCTAAATGGGATCTGCCAAATATTATCGATACGTAAATGGCGTCGGTTTAACGTCAAAATAAGATTTTAATCGGCGCGTCGCCCGTCGTTTAGCGGCGGGTAACCCATCGCGATGCCCGAGGGTTCGCTCGCCCCATTGTGCCGAGTTATTCGAGCGTTGCGCGTACCCTCGTCGCGAAGGCTAATAATAGCGCCTCTCTCCCCGTTGTGTCTTTCCGATAATTCCTCGGTTCATTTGACGTACGATCCCGGTAATGACCGGCTCGGCGTCCGTTTACGACACGCAATCCAAATTCGCGCTACGTGCGATGCGAATCCTCGGAGGATTTGCATCTTTCAAAAACACATACAGTCGTGCGCCGGTTAACATCCGATAGCATATACAGTCGGCCCTTAACATTCGCCGGGGTTAGGTAACAGAGATACCCGTGAATGTTAAAAATCCGTGTACTATTGCTACCCCCCCCCCCTAAAAAATCCCTGGCCCCCCATGTCCTTATTTACCGTATATACCTGTGTGTAGTTTGAGTTTTTAAGACCAAATTATTTGGCAAAAATTGGGGGTCGACCTCTAAACGGGTAATAGTTTCGTTAGGTTGAAAAATATTTACCAGTAACTACCAGTAAACAATGGAAACGATGCACCAACACACCACCAGCTGTGAGTGTCGGTACAGTTGCCAGGGCAGATCTCTTGCGAGCCCAAAGTAGCCAAATCCATGGTATGGTAGCACAGGACGATGTAAAACAAAGTATTCATTTATTAAAGTTAATTTATAGATACTGGACATAAATTTTTGTTCATTACATTTGAAACATCAATCTTTGTTAATTAAATTTGAAACAAGAAAACTACGATACTGGATTTTCATTAAAATATTACATCACAAGTATATTTTACCTTAACTGTGACTGAATGAATATATTCTCGGAAATAAATATGGAAATGTAATATTTTTGCTGGAATGACGTACATATTATAGTGGGAAGTGGGATAAAATCATGAGGAAAGACTTTCGCTTTCTTTCGTTGTTCAAAATATTTTACCGTAATCGCTTTTCGAATGATTTTCAGTTAAAAAACTGTTGTACTCGTACTGTATTACAATAATATTCTATCCTGTCATTAGCCTTATAATCCCACAACTGAAAACCATTCGAAAAGCGATTACGGTAACATCTTTTGAACGAAAGAAAGCGAAAGTCATTGCTTTCGTCACTTTCCACTGTAATACGTACATCATTTCAGCAAAAATATTACATTTCCATCTTCTCAGAAATAAATGGTAGTTTTGTTGAAAGCTAATGTACAGGATTTAACATTAAAATGCAAAAATAGCTATAAAAACAATTAATACACCCGTAATGTACTGGCTGGCATCTCCACTCGTCCCTGCTCCCGCCAGTCACCACTCCTCCCCGCTCTATCCCTCCGCCTCCTCCACATCGTCATTACTGTTGTATTACAATAATATTCTATCCTAATTGACTTGAATAAATACTACGATACCATATATCTGAATATTTTCATTAAAATCAATCCAAATCATTTTCCTTGCCATCGTCTGCAGCACCAAACAGCTTCTCCCAGTCCTTTCCTTGAACAGGGCTAGAGGGTACGTGTTTTTCGAATCGTTTTCAATTAAAAAAATGTTACATCACACGTATATTTTACCTAAACTGCGCCTGAATGTATATATTCTTGGAAATAAATAGTAATTTTGCTGAAATGTGATGTAATATTTTAATGAAAATCCAGTATCGTAGTTTTTTCTTGTTTCAAATTTAATTAACAAAGATTGATGCTTCAAATGTAATGAACAAAAATTTATGTCCAGTATCTACGAGTTAACTTTAATAAATGAATACTTTGTTTTACATCGTCCTGTGCTACCATACCATGGATTTGGCTACTTTGGGCTCGCAAGAGATCTGCCCTGGCAACTGTACCGACACTCACAGCTGGTGGTGTGTTGGTGCATCGTTTCCATTGTTTACTGGTAGTTACTGGTAAATATTTTTCAACCTAACGAAACTATTACCCGTTTAGAGGTCGACCCCCAATTTTTGCCAAATAATTTGGTCTTAAAAACTCGAACTACACACAGGTATATACGGTAAATAAGGACATGGGGGGGCCAGGGATTGTTTTTTGGGGGGGGGGGGGTAGCAATAGTACACGGATTTTTAACATTCACGGGTATCTCTGTTACCTAACCCCCGCGAATGTTAAGGGCCGACTGTACTTCAATTACTTCAATGTACAGAATATTCCTCTGGCGGGGCAATCCGCGTATTTGCGAATCCGTGAATGCTAAACCCGCGTATGTGAAAGGCCGACCGTACGTCCGTGCCCCCCCCTCGAAAAAACACTTCCGTGATGCCTGCTGGACCACCACTCCAAGACCCCCCTGATGGAGACACGACGATCCTTCCCGTACTGGCTAGATGTTATGTGTTAAAGGAATATCATTCCTTAGGCTTTAGTAAGCATTTTCCTCCAGGTGTAATGTTAACCTACATCTATTGAGGATAAAATCTTTCACCTACAAATTGACAATAACACATTTGCTGTAATCGGACATATCTAGTTGCCTCAACAATTGCAACCCTAGTTGCAATTTGAAATTCTGTGTCATTACTGAGGAATAACGAAGTCTCTGGTGCACTGCACTCTAAGATTAAGAGAAAATGGACTCGGGCATCCCGAAGGGAGAGAAAACGGACTTCCACGACGGGAGACTCGAGCACTAACACGTGCCACTCATACCGAGAGACTTGACAAGTTTTACCGACCATTAGTTATGTACGTTATCTAGTGAATTTAGTCAATATTGTACAGTATAAGTATACTGCAATTACAGCGGTCCCTCGGTTAACAATGGACCCGAGTGCAAACCCGTACTGTACGTGTACTAAACGATTACGGTACTTAAATTGTTATGTCTATGGCAAATATAGATTGTTTACACAGATATTCAAATACTATCTTACAAGTTACATTCACCCAGGTCGTTTGGGTGGCAAATTATGAGAAGAGCTTAGTCACTCTTAAGTAATGATAAATATACACTCAGGCCTTCAGTGCCAACTGTCAAATCTTATCTCAAATAAATAAAGACACTGTCACCTCACTTCCCCCCCTCCCCCTTCTTCCCACGCTCGCTGGCTACCTCCCTCCTTGTGTTCCCAGACAAAACATTGGTGATAACTTTATGCTTTAAGGTGTTTATTTTATATAATATCTCAGACTAAAGTTAGGGGATTACAATTTGCATAGCTGGAATCCTTGCAAGACAGCCAATAATTTGAATATAAACATTATATATATTTTGTTGAAGATATAAAAATTGTAGTACATTTTATAATATAAAGTTTTTCAGCTGTATTTTTGGGTAGATTTATATCAATTTCTTCATTTATTTTCATCCATTTACATGCACACACCACAATAAAAGAAACGTAAAAGAAATAAACGACGTCGGTGCAAAGCCGGAGCGTTCTTGTACTAATTTGATTACGGTACAAAAATTGTTATGTCCAGTGCAAATTACAGCATGTTTATATTCAAATTAATCAGTATGTTACAAGAATCCCAGCAATGTTAATTATATTGTACCAGGTCATTTCACTAGCATTTTAAAATGAGAGAAGCTCAGTAGGACTGTTAAATAAACTCAGAGAGACCTTCGGCTCAAACTGTCAAACATCTCCTCTTAACTCTCTCCCCCAGCCAGGGTTTTAGGCTTACAGTTTTTATCTTACATAATATTTCAGACTAAAGTTAGGAGATTATAATTTGCATTGCTGGAATCCTTGCAAGACAGCCAATAATTTGAATGTAAACGTCATATATTTTGCTCGAGAGATAAAAATTTTTGTACGTTAGTGTACAGTACTGTAGTACATTTTATAATATAAAGTTTTTCAACTGTATTTTTTGGGTAAATTTACATCAATTTCTTCATTTATTTTCATCCATTTACATGCACACACCATACTAAAAGAAGTAATTGACCTTAGTGCAAAGCTGGAGTTTTGTTGTACTAATTTGATTTGGGTACTAAAATTGTTATGTCTAGTGGAAATTATAGCATGTTTATATACAAATTTATCAGTATGTTACAAGAATCCCAACAATGTTAATTATATTCACCCGGGTCATTTCCCGGCCGGGAAAAAACGCGCCACTGACCCGGGCGCCAACCGTCGGTGTCGCCGGGCTTTATCTTAAATAATATCACAGACAAAAGTTAGGAGAATTTAATTTGCATCGCTAAAATCGTTACAAGACGGCTAATAATTTTAACATAAACGTTGTATATTTTGCACAAGAGATAAAAATTTGTAGCCCTTTGTAATAAAATTAGTTACAACTAAAATTTGTATGTGAACTATAGCATGTTTATATTCAAAGTAATCACAATTTTATAAGAATTCCAGCAATGTTAATTATATTCTTCCAAGTCAGTTTAGTGATATTTCATAAGAGAAAAACTGAAAGTCACTGTTAAGGACAGATAAATAAATAAGCTCTAGACCTTGGCATCAACTGTCAAACCGATAACCCTCCTCCCCATCTTGCCGCGAATCCGATCACGAGTAAACGGGCCATTTCGCGTCTCATAATTTTAGCCGCGTCGATTTACGAGCGTCCGTTTTAACGCGATACTACAAGAACGATGTTTTGTAGGAGATGGGCCGAGGTGCATTTGGGTATATTGGGTCTTTTTAGTATTTTGTGTTAGTCTCGAGTACCAAAGTAAATTGTTCCATTGAAACCACTTTAATTGAGTCCGAATTTGGTTTAAAGCTATTAGCTCTCTAGGAATGCGCCTCGCGTCACATCGACGTCGTACCGCACGTGCGTCGGTCACCGACGCGTACGCGGGACCGGTAACAATTTTACGTAAACGCGTCGACGACGTAATATTCGACAATGCCGTCGGGTCGTCGACGTCGGCGTGCCGTTTCTTCGTTTAGTAAATAGTCGCGGCGATTTTTGTCGCGCGCGTGTCCGTCGACGACCGCTCTCTCGTGTCCGTCCGCGGATGCGGGCCCGCTCGAGATTCGGCCCGTATTGCGCAGTCGTACGGTCCGTCGTCGTTTGCGAGAAGTACTCGTTTACGTAGTCTCGCGTGCAGTATATTGCATTTTCTAGCAATAGACTAGTTACGATCGTAGATTAGTTCCATCACGTAGGGTATCGTCTCACCGTCGGCCCGGGACACACCTCCGGCCACTCGACACTCTGCTTACCGGTACACGATACAAATTAAAAATTATCAACACGATATTTTATGAGGGCATTATGATTGATTTATAATACCCTATGCAGTGGTTGTATAGATGTAGTGCAGTATAATTATTAAATGCAGGCAGCATTCACATCACAAACTTAACCCACAGAAGAAGTCGCCTCGGGCAACGGCAGCAGTCGGCAGCGGAAGCGCGATCCGGGAGACGGACACGAAGAACGACCGTAGATCGTCGCTCCGTCACCGCTCCGGAGACGGGTCGGCGAGTGCCGCTCTCCGACGCGAGACGATCGTCGAGAATAACCTACGTGTTTTTCTATTTTTATGGATGCTATTTTAAGGATAACTAAAGCTCAGTCAATGGTTATTTTAGCTTAAGGTCATATTATACGTGTATTTGTAATGTACAGTATTTCATTTAGTAAGAATGCTAAAACTTGCCCGACGGTCGACCCCCAAAACAACTGCGGCGACCCGCTCCGGCACTCGAGAAGACGGAAGCTCCGAGTACACGACGTTAAAGATTAACGGATAGTTTGACGACTATACCACCCCTTCGTCCACATAGCACCCCTTCCTCTTCCATTCATCTACCACCGCTTCTTCCCTCCGTCTACCATCGCTTCCTCCCTCCACCTACCACCCCTTGTTCCCTCTACCTACCATCGCTTCCTCCCTCCACTTACCTCCAGCTAAATCTATCCCTCCCTCCACTTACCACTCTTCCTTTCCTCATCTATTATCTTTCCCTTCCACCCCTCTATCCCACCATCTGTCCCTCCTCCCTTTCTTCACGTACCACTCTTCCTTTCCTTATCTATTATCCTTCCCTTCCACCCCTCTATCCCTTCCCTCCACATACCACCTTTCTCTCCTACCACCTGTCGTTCCTTTTTTGTGTTTTATTTAATAAGTTTTATAGTATATGATGGCCACCTTATTAATAATGTAACATTTTGTGTGATTACAATTACACTACACACACTTAGTCGAAGTGACCAGTTATTAGTGTTGATATTAATGGGATAAATATTAGATAAGTTTATTGGAGTTTGCTATAAAATATGTGACTATAATTATAAATTGTGAGTGTGAAGAAGGGTTTATAAGTTGTTTATATGTCAATTAGAGGAACAAATAATTTGCTAACCACACCCTAGTCCTTCAATGGAAAACGCATCGAAATGTGCAGGGTCGAGAATCGGCGAACGCATTCGGCGGGAGAATAAATGCGGCGACACGCGTAGAATGCTCGTACGCCACTCTCGGGCACGTACGTTTCCATTTACTAAAGTTAGGTGGGTTTGTTTGGGTGGCGTGGGACCCAGAGGGCATCGGCAGGCGGTCGCGTCCGGCGGTTGCCGTGCGAGAAATTGGGAGGACGGGCTTTCACGTTGCAGAAATTAAGGAACGGCATCTTCCGGCGGAACCACAGCCCTCGATTAAAGGAACACTCGGGTTTGACGCCCACGGACCGAGCGCGCGGCTCCTCCGCCATACATTTCGTCGTCGGTAACAAGAGTAGTCGATTGAAGTCCCCTCTTTTGCCTGGGTGGATGTGTCTGTGCTAACCGTTTTAGGCAAGTGAATGTTTGGTACAGCAGATTTGGGGATTCATTGTAGGGTAGACTTGCCATACAGTGCAGTGTTTTAATTGGTATTATATTGCGGCGATCGGCGAGCACGGAGACCGAAGCCTCACTCGACCGTGTCTCGGGTTTGGTCCGAGGCCACACGTAGTCATCGTCGAGGGTACAGTCCGGAACGCCGTTCGACGTAACGTCTCGTCGAAATTCCGGAGCGGTCTTCTCGTCGCGTGGCGCGCCGGAGGTCGACGCGACGACGTTCCCGGAGGGGTCGTCGTCGGGTATTCGACGTGCATCCGCGAGGGCCCACGAGACTCCCCGAGGCCACTCGACCCCCGGAGTAGAACGAGGGCACGCGTCGAATCGGCGAACCGTCGAAAGTGCGCAAGAAATGAGATCGCGTAAATGACGGCAGATTAATTTCGTCTACGCTCGTACGTATAAAAGTGCAAAATAAATAAATAATACGTATTTTTTTTATGGGAATTAGCCCACCCGGGCACGGGTCACCGACCCACATCGGGGCGAAAATGTAATAATAATAATAATTGTTGAAGTTACAGTGTTCATTTTTGGTGGCCATCAACGAAATATGATGCGAGAGGCTCGGACGACGACGCTCTCTCCGGTATATTTTCGGGACCGTCCGTAAAAACGAAACAAAAACACACGTGCGCATTCAAAGTGGCGCTTTATTCCACAAGTAAAGTAAAACATATTGACATAAATATGGGGTAATCTAGTTTATATGTAACAATAATACTGAAGAACCTTAAAGAAATACAAAATGGAAAAAAAAATCAAAAGTGAGGAACAATATATTTGTTGTGTTGTCAATAGTAAGAGAAACAATCGAGACCCTGCAATCGCGTGTTAACGAGGCGGAAAGTCAGACGAGCGATCCGGGACTCGGTCACAATTTTAGGGATGCCACGTAGCAGGAAGATCTACCACAGACGACACATTACGCTTCCAATATTGTCCGCGGAGGTGGTATCTCCCCGTTTGGTGGCTGTCTAAGTATGTAAGATTTTCCAATGGAAAGTGTATGTTTGGCAAATGTATCCATGTCTTTAGAGAATGTACTCAGATATTTGGGTTAGTTGTCAAGGGTTCATGTATAATTTGCATGCCTAATTGACTATGTATATTTTTTAACTTTAATTTTTCATTTGCAGTCACCCGACGGGAGTCAGAAACGTCATTTTTGTGCGGACCGGCGACTCGACGGACCCCGGCCGAGGACGCCGCTCGAACCGCGGGAGTCGCGGGTAAGATTCTCGGACGACGCCGTATTGTAATGTTTATATCGCAGTGTACGGTATTTACTTAATGGTTCTTCGAAGAATAGGAATGCGCATGTGGCGTGCCTCGGCGTCTCCGTAGGAATTGCGTAGAGTAAGTGGAAGGTTTTTAAGGGAGACGAGAATTTATTAAGCGGCGCGTCGTCGACGAAATATCGAAGGAAGTTTTGACCGGTCACCGAGAGGAAATAAGACAGGAATTTACGAGTAAAAGAGTAGAACGTAAAGATAACGAGGGAGAAACGAAAATGCGACCGACGATGAGACTCGGGTGCCATGGAAAATGCGTAGAGGGAAGAGGGACGGACATTACAAGTGTTATAATGAGAGATATAGAATTGAAGGTGTCATATCTGGTCTAAAAGTGTTGGATACAATATGAAAAGTATTATTAAAAAATGGGAGTTTAACCCATAAGCCAAGGGTTAGGGTGCTGCTGGCACTTCCCCCTCCCTTCCTATTGGGATAAATCGAGAAACAAGATGAATTCTCCCCACCCCCTCCTCCAAAAAGGGGAGACCAGATGGACGTTGTGGAACGTCACCTGGGTGTAAGGGTTAAGAATGTAGTAGCTTGTAATGGAGGATGAGGTATATGTATTTATGTCCTATGTTTTATACTGTATTGCAAGTAGGCGTTATTGTATGCACATTGCGGGTCATAATAGGAACGCGGCACGCCGGAGGCGGGTACACGGGACGATCCCTTAGAACAGAAGCCGAAAGTTCGTGGCGTGGGTATATCCACTTCCCTTAAAAGTGTAATTAGGGATCCTCCTCAGACACACTGCACCATTTGAACGCAGACGTAAGATTATCCTCATCGCCGTACACGTCCCGAGGAGACGAGGCGTATCGAGTTTACGCGGATGCATACGAGATATTTCCTTTCGAGTACGGGTAGTTCTGCTATAACGCGATAGTTGTGTTCTTGTAAAACATCGTGTTATAGAAATTCGTGTAATAGAAATGACAGGGCTTATGGAGAAAATAGGGTTAGGTGCAGATTACTCCAAATCGAAAAAAATTTCGTAGTACAGTCTAAATGAATGTTACATTCATATCTAATATTGAAATCATACAGTAAATGTTACACTTTACCTTGAAAAAATATGAATATAACTTGTTGGGGGAGAAGATTGATGTTGAGGCTGAGGAGTCATGAAACATCAAGCTTTTCTTCAAGCGTTATAGCCTTTCTTTTACGATCACCACCGGAAATGCGATCACCAGAGTGCTTCCCAGAGATATTCTTCTTTTCCATAGTCACAAAATTGGAGAAACAGTAATCAGAAATCACCGAGGACACTTAAAAACTTCACACGTGTTTCAAACAAAGTGTGGAGTAAACAGAGCGCGCGGGTCTAAAACGCTATGTATTTTGTTTTTCTCTTATTTAAAATTTTACATTTTACATATACTGTAGAGGTATACTGTATACATAAATATTACATAAATTATTTCTGCAATTCTTCACAAACAAAACACATAAATCAATTGAACGTGCGATGTCGAACGTGAACTGCATAACCCCGCGCCAAGCCACAGCACTGTACTGTACAGTACAATTTAAGCGCTACGTATTTAGTTTATCTTTTATTTAAATTTTGACAATTTACCTATATATATATAAGTAAATTGTAATTTACATATTATTCATATTATGCTAGAGCGCCCACAAAACATAAGAAACGTTTGAGTCCCCCAGTAGAGATGTCCGTTCTCTATCCACTCCAGGATGTGTTAGTCCTCCGTTTTCTTTTTGTGTACTCGCAGGTTGATAAGGGAATTTGAATTTATTTGTGTATTTATTTATTTGTAATATATTGTAATATATTAAATATGCTGCAAGTATTTTCTTTAATTTATATACTTTTTTCTCGAAAAAGGGAGGCTACCATTATACCCGGTAATGTACATTTATGGCGATCGTTAAGGACCAAACTCCGAATCCATGACGTGACTTCTGTTCATCATTTATGTCCTAAATTTACCAATGTAGGTAGTTTCAAGAATTAATGCAGTCATTTACCGAATATTCTTTGCCAAAAAATAAATTTCAAATGAATTATTTATAGGAGATAAGTATTACGATCAGTAAATATACAGATATGCATTACCGACCACCTCCGAACACAAGGACGGCTAAAAATAGGCACAGACGGTCACAGTCAAGGTCACTTTCCCTTTCTTGTCACTGTAGGACCTTGTGAGTGGTTTACTGTATACATAAATATTACATAAATTATTTCTGCAATTCTTCACAAACAAAACACACAAATCAATTGAATATGCGATGTCGAACGTGAACTGTAAACACCGTGTGTGATGTAAAGAGAGCGCGGGTGTAAAACGTTATGTAATTTGATTGTCTCTTTTATTTAAAATGTTATAATTTACTTATAATATATAGGTATACTGTATACATAAATATTACATACATTATTTCTGCAATTGTTCACAAACAAAATACATAACTCAATTGAACATGCGATGTCGAACGTGAACCGAAGCCATAACAACCGTTCGAGTGGAATCGCGTCGGAGCAAACGAGTTCGCGTTTTACAAATGTCGTTCCTCAATTCATAAATCGCGTCAGAGCAAATTTGCGTCGTCAAAACACGAGTTATAGCAGAACTCACCGTATAGTTTTTGGTTCGCTGCCAACACGTTTATCCTCGTACCGGATCTCCGTCGTCGCTTATTTTTACGCGACATCTGCGGAAGTTCCGTTCGCTAGACGTTCACAGACGTAAACGGTACGACCTCGAGAGCACGACGTACATTCGGTCGTAAAGTACACCGGTCCGGATCGAGTGGACTTTCCCAATCGTCTTATAGATTTCTCGAGTTCTTGGGAATGGTACGAATATGTACAATTAATATTATGTTATGTATAGGTATATTGTATGTTTTTGATAATCGTTAAGTATTCGAGGCGGCGGCGGCGACGTTCGGCATCGGCGGCAAAGCGACGGCACGCCGCACCGACGGGCGGAGGAGCGTCGAGTTTGATTTTGTATTAGGCGACGGGGTCGCGGGTATTTACGGAGATACGGCAGAGCGCGACGTCGGCGCCCGCGTACGGCACGAGCGGGAGGAGTAATTTGCGCGGGACGTAATTGTGGGGTAGTCGAGTATTGCAGTGGGTATGCCTGTGTGTTTTAGTTGGCAATAGTGCGTAGATATGTTTGTGTGGGGTGAGTGTGTATAGGTATACTGTAGAAAGAATGAACTTAGATGAAGTTTGTTTGGGAATTAGTATAATTTGTAATAGTAGATAATTGTCGATATATTTTGACAGTAATTTGTCCGTTTCAGTTGCGGAGGAGCGCGCCGATACGAGTCGGAGACGGCTCGTACAGTCGGCGCGCGAGAGCGGTCCGGACGAAGACATTCGGGAACCGACGACGAAGACGCTCGTCAACTGCGGACGAAGATGCCGGTCGACGCGCGAGGAAGATGCTCCGGAACACGGGAAGAACACCACGCTCCCGAGTGCGGGAAGACACTCGTCGACGCAGAAGGAGAAACGCATCGATGTCTTCGGGCCGGTGCGATTGTTTTAAAGACGATTTAACGTGTCAAATGAATGCACGTGTCGTTTGTAACGATTGTTATAATGTTTGTAGTATTGTTTTTAGAGACCGACTCTGCGAAGACGGAGGAAGTCGATACTTGTCGAGAATGAATTTATTGAAGATGTTGCCTGTGATCACTAGGTGTTTGCACTAATTTTGGGAGAAGATTACGATCGTAGAACGTCACGGAATGCGGCGCGCACGTCATTTGTGGCGGGACGCATCCATAAATAACGGCAGCGTAAATACGAGATAACGCGGCGGCGGCTGGGACGCGCGCCTTCTGAAAGTAAAAGAACGGGGGAGATCGGACCGACACGGATGGTGTTGTCGAGGTAACCGATAAGAATGGAGAAATGATGACTATTTGGTGGGTTTTTTAGGACAGAGAGAGTAGTTATATATTAGTGAAGATATAAAGTAAAAGGTGATAAGGATGGTGATGGGGGACAACGAATGATATATTTTGTAGGGTATTAAAGTAATTGACGCGCTAGTGCCGAGTCGGCGTAATTGTGAGAAACGGATGCGACGGGGATTTTGAAGAAGTCGCGCGGTAGAGGAATTGCGGGGAAATTGGCGGAAGCGACGATCGCAATAACCTTTAGATGCGGGACGGGCGACGACGAATTTAGTAAATGGCGGTTTAGGAAAGGGTCGTACGTAAAGCGGCGGGCGCGTGCGGATACGGACGACGGTGGATCGGGGTCCGTTTACGGGACGGGAAAGAGGACCGACGGAGACGAGGCGGCGCACAAACGAAAGTCTCCTAGGTACTGCCTGGAAGTACGGCAGTAGTTACGGAAGTATACCCGCGAGATGCGTAAAGAATGATTTGGAAGTAGAGTTAGCTAAGAGTCGCGTGTTTGAAATGGCGGGAAGGTTTGATAGGTGTATTAGTTTTATGTAATTGTGGCAGTGCGTTTGAGAGCGGGGGGGGGTACCTATTTTGAGACCGCGACATCTACCGGTAAGGAAATATGCGATGCAGCAGTAATATATTTTTGGTTAATAGTAGTTTCATATATTTGGCATGAATTTATACTCGTTCACCCGTACTCCGTGTTGTTCCACTCGCGTTAAGGTGTTTATTGTGAAGGCGTTTGTATAATAATAAAATTTGGCGGACGAGTAGGATAAGCGGAAGGGGAAGGAATACGAGCACAATGTTTAATTTGTAAGCCCTCCCTTTGTTGTCTTTTCCCTCTGTTGTCTTTTCCCTCTGTCTCCCCGTCGTCGTCCTCCTTTTTGGACGCGTTCCTCGTTTCTCTGTTTGTCGTGCGGTTTCTTCTCCCTCCGTTTTATTGTGACTCCCTTCGTTTTTCTCCCCCCTACCTGCTTCTGTCCGTCGTCGTCGTTGTCTTCCTGTTTCCTTGTTTTACTCCTCCTCTTTGCCTTTTGTCTTCCTCGTTTCATTGTTTATTGTTTTGCTTGTTCTCCCTCTGTTCCTCCTCCTCCTCTGTTTGATTGTGATTCCCTTCTTGTTTCTCACCCTCCCATTGCTCTTGACCCTGTTGTTACTCCCGTTTGTTTGTTGCTTTCTTTTCCCTTTGTTGGTTGTTTTTGTGTCCTTGTATACGTTTGTTGTTACTAATTGAATTTGTGGTTGTATTACTGCTGCTGTGTGTATGTTGGATTGTATTTATTTGTGTTGTTATAAATATGTTGAGTGTGAATTAGATATATTCTGTTGATATTTGACTAAATTTTGTTGTTAAGAAGAGGAGGAGTTCTATTTAGATTTGGAAAGTAATTGTCATCGAGGACGAGAACGAACGTACCGTCTGTAGTTTGAATACGCGGTGGCGTCGGGTTTGGGCAGTTATATATCGGGAAATAGTCGAAGAGTGTAAGTTAATGTTGTGGACTTGTGAAATTGATGAGGATGAAATTGTTTATTGTGGAATAGTTATTGGTTTTAATTTGAAGGGTGTCAATTGCGCACCGGGAATATTTTGTCGGGAGTTTAGCGTCGTCGGAATCGACCGGAACGGCCGCAATAAATCGCGGGAGTCGCGGAGTTATTTTTTGTCGTTATAGATCCGTTCGCGGAGTCGTAAAAAATGTGGCGTCGTCGACGAAAGTCAATCGTCCGCGGATCGGTCGTCTTCGAATCGACGGAAGTTAAGCGCGGACTCGCAATACAGTTTGACGTGCAATTCGTCGCGTCCGTTTTATTGCAGTCGAGTTACGTGTAGACTTTGAATATTTGTAGACTTGTATATGTTTGTTTGTAATTGATTGAAGTTATTTGTAGTTTGAAAAATGTTTTGACTTGTTGTTGTTTGATTATAGTATAGTCATTTGTGCAGTTTGAATCTATTTTGGTTTGTGGATTTGGAAAATGTGTTGCATGTATGTGGACTTTGAATAAGTGAGATATTTTGTGGATTTAGTATATTTTTCATGTCTGTGGACCGAAATGTCGTACCTCTCTAGTCGGGCAACCTCGGGACCGGACCGGTGCCGGACCGTGGAAATTCACCCTTTTCCTGGATAGATAGTGACTTGTGCTTAAGCTTGGAAGCACTAGCACCACTTTCTCTGCATCACGGTCTCTTTGAAGACATATTGAAGGGTTAAAAGTCGTATAGTAGCTTGTCAAATTTTGAGAGTTTTTAATTCTTAACGTATTTTATTGGAACACGCCAAAAAATAAATGAATAGAAATTTTGACGGCTGAAACTGGAATTTCGACGGGTTCGAACGGCCCGCCAACGTCGAGACGACGGGCACAGTCGCGTAAAGAGCGTCATTTCTCTCACGTAGAAAAGATTCATTATTGTTTATTACTGAATGTCTTTTTTTATTGAATTACTGTTTAGGTGTGGAAAATGAGCAATACAATTCATTAATAATACGTAGAATATTAAAACACACGAGGAAATGACACGGTATTGTTTTCGTCGATTACAAGATCAGCGATTGACTGGTTCTACATATAAAACAGAAGAAAATAAGATCTTGGCTGTAGCTGTAGTAAAATTACTATGGTTGTTTTAAGTAATGTTATTTAATGTTAATAAATGGAACAATAGAAGTAGCTAACGATAACGGTAAGGAAAAAAAGAGATCGCGCGTGTAAGTGGGCATGCGAACACGTGAAAAGATATCGTCATTACTTTACGTAAGAATATGAAAGCAACACTTACTGTTCATATAAAATTTAATTGATGTTTGTGAATTTGTTTTTATTGAATTAATGTTTGTGTGTGCAAAATTAACAATACAATTTATTAATAATACGTGGAATATCAGAGGAGACGAGTCGGCTGCCGGCATCGTTTATGTTAAAGCTCACAAAACCAGTGACTGATGGGTTGTACATATAAAACTGAAGAAAATAAGACCCTGATTTTAGGTGCAGTAAAATTAATGTAAAAAAATTAATATGCTCCTTTGAAGTACGTGTAATGTTATTTAATGTTAATAAATGGAACAATATAAGTAGTTAACCATTAATGGTAAAAAAAAAAAGTGAGACTGCGCATACGTAAGTGCGCACACGTGAAAAGATATCGTCATTACTCTACATAAGAATATGAAAGCAACACTTATTTATTGTTGATATATATTGAAGGGTTAAATGTTGTACTTTATAGACAAAGAGAGAGAGAGAGAGAGAGTAGCTGAAGTGCTGGATGTAAACAAACCTTAATTTCCTGGTTTTTTGTTTTTTTAGGGCGATTAGTCCACCCGGGCATAAGTCACTGACCCACGTTGGGGGCGTGAGGGGCAAAAATTTAATATTTCTGTTATAATAATGATAATTCCCAAGAAAAAAAAAAACCTGCCTATATACCTGTTGGAGAAAATGAAATTGTTCCGGACCACGGCAGTTTGCGGAGCACAGAATGCCGGACTAGAGAGGTACAACCTGTAGTTGTTTGTGGAGTTGAAATTTTTAACTTTTGTGGACTTTGAATAATTGATAATGTTTGTCGACTTTGAATTTGTTTTGCCTTTTGTGGACCGGGTATATGTTTGGCGTGTGCGCGGACCGGGAAATTTACGCGTCGGGTCCGAGGACCGGCAATAATTATCGACGCACGCGAACTCGGAATAACGTATTACGCCGGTGGAATCGGACTACTTTTTTATCCTTTGTGGACTTTGAATAATTTTGTATCTTGTGTGGAATTGGAATATTTGTTATCCTTTGAAAATGTCTCATTGTTTGTGTATTTTGAACAATTGTCAATTTCTGTGGACTTTGAATAATTAATGATGTTTGTGGACTTTGAATATGTTGTATATTTTGTGGAATTTGAATAATTTATTGTTTGTGTACTTGGAATAATGTTCAATTTATGTGGAATTTGAATAATTAATGATGTTTGTGGACTTTGAATATTTTGTATATTTTGTGGAATTTGAATAATGTTCAATTTATGTGGACTTTGAATAATTAATGATGTTTGTGGATATTTGAATATTTGGTTATGTTGTGTGGACTTTGCATGTTTTGTATCCTTTGTGGACTTTGAATAATGTATTGTTTGTGTACTTTGAATAATGTTCAATGTATGTGGACTTTGAATAATGTATAATGATTGTGGACTTTGAATAAATTATAATGTATGTGGACTTATTATTTTATCGTTTGTGGACTTTGAATAATTGTCAATGTAGACTGAGTATTTTTGTCATGTTGTGTGGACTTAGAATAATTTGTATCCTTTGTGGACTTGTAATAATTTTCAATGTATGTGGACTTGGAATAATTTCTGATGTTTGTGGACTTAGTATTATTTTAGCCTTTGTGTATTTTGAATGTATGTGTACTTGGTATGTTTTTCATGTTTATGGACTTGTTATTATTTTATTGTTTGTGGACTTTGAATATTTTGTATCCTTTGTGGATATAGAAAATATTTTATCGTTTGTGGCTCGGTATTAATTTATTACGTCTGTGGACTCGGAATAATTTTGTATCGCGTGTGGACTTTGAAAATTTTTCATTGTTTGTGGACTTGGATAAATGTTCATATGTTGTGGACTTAATATTTTTTCATTGTTTGTGGAGTTAGTATTATTTTATCTTGTGTGGACTTGTAATAATTTTCAATGTGTGTGGACTTAGAATAATTGTCATTGTTTGTGGACTTATTATATTTTTCATGTTTGTGGACTTTGTATTATTTTATCCTTTGTGGACCTTAGAAATTTTGGCATTCCTTGTGTACTTGGAAATATTGTCATTGTGGATTTAGAAACATTTCATGTTGTGGAGTTAGTATTATTTTATTCTGTGGACTTGTAATAATTTTCAATGTATGTGGACTTGGTATATTTTTCATCATTTGTGGACTTTGAAATATTGTTAGTTTGTGGACTTATTTTTTTTCCTCTTGTGGAATTGGAATAATTTATGTTTGTGGATTTCTTAAATTTGTTCATCTTTTATGGACTTAGAAAATTTTCATGGTGTGTGGACTTAATTTTTTCCCTGTGTTGTGGACTTAGAATAATTTTCATGTGTGGAATTGGTTTTTTTTCATGTCATGGACTTAGAAAAGTTTTCATCTTTTGTGGACTTAGAAAAATTTTCATGGTGTGGACTTCGTATTTTTTGTTGTTGTGTGGACTAAGTATTTTTTGCTGTGTTGTGGACTTAGAATAATTTTCATGTGTGGACTTGGTTTTTTTCATGTCATGTGGACTTATAAACTTTTTATGGTGTGTGGACTTATTATTTTCCCTGTGTTGTGGACTTAGAATAATTTTCATGTGTGGAATTTGTTTGTTTCATGTTATGTGGACTTAGAAAATTTTTCATATTTTGTGGACTTAGAAAAATTTTCATGGTGTGTGGACTTATATTTTTGTTGTTGTTGTGTGGACTTAGTATTTTTTTGTTGTGTGGACTAAGTATTTTTTTGTTGTGTGGACTTAGTATTTTGTTGTTGTGTTGTGGACTTAGAATAATTTTCATGTGGACTTGGTTTTTTCCCTGTGTTGTGATTAGAAAATTTTTTATCCTTTGTGGACTTAGAAATTTTTTCGTGGTGTGTGGAATTAGTTTTTTTTTCATGTCATGTGGACTTATAAAATTTTTATGGTGTGTGGACTTAGTTTTTTCCATGTGTTGTGGACTTAGAAATTTTTATGTTCTTTGTGGACTCTGTATATTTATCATGTATGTGGACATAGAAATATTTTCAGCATAATAAAAGAAAGCATATAATCAATGTGTTTATTTTTCATAAGTTAACATACAGCCATATTGGATTTTTAAAACAAAAGTATGATGTTGTAAAAAACGGGATCACATAGACAGGTGGTGTCATAGAAAATGGGAGTTTTGGAGCCGAGGAAAATTTCCCATTTTCTTTGATGGTTTCCCATTTTCTTAAGTTGAACAGAAAACGGGATTTTTTTCAAAGTCGCTATCTTTTTAAGATAGGTTCTGGCAGCCCGTTTTTTATTATATAAGTTATTTAGAGTGTTTATTGAGCAACAAAAATGATTTTTCAACTGAAAGAAAGTAGTTATTCCAAATTAGTTTTAAGTTAGTATTTTAATGTTTTGTTTGCAAACAGACGTTAACCATATTGTCAATACTGACAATAGGTTTAGTCGTAAAGCTCTCTCGACACAGATATCGT